AATACCTAGGGGCGTTTTTTTTTGTTTGCCGAATCGGTAGAAGAAGATGATTGGAAACTTACCTGTTGGTCGGGCTGTTGCCTAGTCCAGTCGATACGGACAGTGCGACGACCACCTCGAGGTTGGAGACTTACCGTCGAGCGTGAGGGCATACTTACCTGTTGATCGATGCAACCTTCATCTCGGCGATGGAGTAGCCGCTCTCTATCGCCCTGTGTGTGTATGATTTGAAATGAGTGTAGGTGCCCACGTTTTAGCGGGAGATTCATGACTTTTATTTCATCATTTTTCTTTTTTTGTTTCTTCTATATTACTTCCTTTATGTCTTGGTTTTCATACTTACCGGGTAAGTGGTAAAGTCCGCTTGTGTTGAGTCAGCGGTACACAGTCCCAGTCAGTATAGGCCGGTCCAGCTAGCGCCGTACTGTGAGCGCCCGAGGCCGATGGAAGGGGTAGAATAGCACTGAGCAGAAGTATAAACCGAGTTGCAGTGCCAAGCCAGTGGCTTATTCCTGCGTAAGCCATACGGAAGCCCTGCTATGACAAGCTTGGGCTACGGAAGTCTGCAGAGAACTTGGAGTTTGAGGGGGAGCTGTATGCCGTTGTTACTGTGGGATTCTACACTGTAAAATGTTATACTTGGACCCGGACTGTAGCTTTGCCCGATGGCCGGAACACAGTCCGCTGTGGCGGGAGCTTGGTTGAGGCAGGCGGCTCCTTGTTATGGCCAGTACCATTGGGGCTCCTATGCGGTGGGTTTCCTACGTCTGCCCGACTCTATTTGATTGATCATAAATCCTACCGTATCTCTTGTTCTACTATAGAGCGTTGAGGAGCCAGCTAACTAGCATGCTGGGCGGCCTACCAAGAAAAGTGACTACGAACCGGTCCGAGGGTTGCGTGTTTGCTGGCCAGATTACGTAACTGGCGATACCAGGCCTCGAAGCTGTGGCAGTTTCTTTTGCTGCTCCCCTGGAGTGAACCTCACGGTCTGCCGTGGCTGCTGAATGCCGTGGACGAATGGCTGGTATTCCCACTAACAGTGAGCAGGTTGCTGTCTACTGCACCCGGGCCCAGACTATAGTTATGGCTGTGGGTGATTATGAACAGGCTGTGGCTGTGCACTGCCCACAGGCTGTTGCCACCAGGGGAGGAGGCTGAGTTCTGCCCCTCTCTACTGCGACCTGCGGACTGTGCGCGGAAAATTGTTGTTTACCACAGGCTGGGCACGAACTTTAACTACGAGTTGCTATTGAATGAGTAAAGTTGTTGACCAAGCTGATACATTGGCTGCCATTGCGGGGCCCTCAGGCGATCAAAGATAACAAGGCCCTCTCCAATGAGATTGAGAGCACCCCTCTTGTATATGAGAGTCTCAAACCTTCTGCTTCTACCCTTCTCACTCTAAGTCTACTCTTGTGGTTCTGAGAGGAAGGCGGCAGGCGGGATTGCAACCCGTAGGTCCGCATCAAGACTCTGTGGGGAGTCCACCCACCGATTGCGGKAGCCCTGCCGGAACCTAGGCGAGGTTCTGGAGGCTGGGAATTATCAGGTATACYATCTCCATCCGTACAACCTACTACTACCCATGTTTGCCTATCTCCCTGTARTATGATTGYGGTATGCATGTATTGTCCCTATGATTATTGTTTTCTCTTCAGAACCAATCAGACTAACTGGAAAGAATGTGTGAGAGTGAAGCCTATGTTTCTACTTTGTTCTGATTGAAAACAGAYTAAGGATGAATTGGGGGAAGGTGGAAGGAAGGTAGACTGCATGCGTTTGACCGGGTCAACCAAAGCCTGAGCATTGTTTCTACTGTGAATGGCTCAGGGCTATGTTTATTTGGCTGTTTTCAGAAGGACCAGGCATTGTTTCTATTGTAAATGGTCTGGTCGCTGTCTTTATTTGATTGTTTTCTAAGGAACCAGGCATTGTTTCTATTGTGAATGGCCTGGCTACCTTAGTTAACTTTGAGGGTTTGTCTGATTGAAGGGGTTTAAATTCTTGTTTATTCTGAGGGAGGATTTTTGGTCCAAGGCTAAGCATTGTTTCCATGGTGAATGGTTTAGCCTGAAAACCACGCACATAATTTAAACTAAGTATAAAGGAACGTATTTTATGTATATTTGCATGTGAACTGACAGCAAGGCATTGTTTCTTCTGTGAATGGTCCAGCGTTAAGCCATATCATTAAGAAGAAAAAAGGAAAATACAAAGTATAAATGGAAATAGTTTGGGCAAGCTGAACATTGTTTCTACTGTGAATGGTTCAGTCCCCTTCCCATATTTGCTTTTTCTTTTGAAAACAAAGTCAGAAAAATACTAAATTTTTGGATATTAAACAGCTCACGGCGACTAGGCATTGTTTCCATGGCGAATGGTCATATGCTAAAAAGAAGAAAGAAGTAATTGTACAACCTGTTCGTGTGTATCATGAAGACTAGCTGGGCATTGTTTCCATGGCGAATGGTCCTGCTCTATGTCTTATGTAAGATGGGTATAAGGATTTAAGAACTTGAAGATTCATGAACTATCTATATAGAATAAACTTGGGGTGATGAGAGTACTTACATTTGTGGTTTGGTTTGCATGTGACTGGATGGGATGGCTAGTTTGTTTAAGTTTCATTACTATAGGTAGTTGCTTTAGTTGTTCGCCACGTGCTAAAGCCATAGGAGTTAGTGTCAATTCCTGCTTTTTCTGTAATAATTTTTTTTTACTTAGGTCATTTCCTGCATTTTCTGATATCTTTTTCTTATACTTGGCTTTGTATAAATCTTGGCAAGCTATTTTTCCTACGGGAAGCGGTGCCAAAATTTCTACAAATCCAAGAAGTTAGTCAACTTGACTTGTCAGAGTTCAACCTGTCTTTTCCATATATCTGGCTTAGTTAAAATCTGGGAAGTCTCCCTTTCTAAAGGGAGTGCTGCCYAAAATTTTGCTAATTYAGGGAGTTAGACAAAATTGAATTTTGGGAAGTCAAAATTACTTTTGAAATCTGWACTTAGTCTTGTAYAAATTTTGGAATAGCACTTTTTCTAGAGGGATAGCTGCCGAAATTTCTGCAAGACTGAGAAGTTAGTTAAATCTTATCTAAATTGGACTCAAGTTTATCTTGTGAGTTCAAACCTGACTTAGTATAAATCTGGGAAGTCTCTCTTTGTAAAGGGAATGCTACCCAAATTTCTACTAATTCAGGGAGTTAGACAAAATTTGATTTTCCAGAGTTAGAAATTATTTATATTTTTCATATTTAGAATTATATAAATTCTGAAAAGACACTTTTTCTACGGGAAGCGCKGCCGAAATTTTCTTAGTTTAAAGGAGATATACTATATTTTGACAGGTGACAATTTAGGCAAATCCACCCAGAATAGGGGAGATTCTGTAGTTGGTCTACCTTTAGCTTAAGCATTTGGTTTAAAAGTAGACTTAAGTTTARCTTATAGGGAGATTTTGAGTAAGGATGTATTATGGAATTGTAWTYTCCATACACTTATGATYTTAGCTTGGGGATTGGTCTGCCGTGTGTTACAGTTTTTTTTTCAAGCTCAGGGYTAGATCCAGTTTGATCCTTTTGAGGATCACTTTCTGTTATCACTAATAACAGGTTGGTTGCCGATTCGTCGGTCTACGACTCAATTTCAACTCTCCCTCCACACTCAACCTAAAAGGCTTTAGCCCTGGTGATCTTCGTTGTTTTATTAAGGTTTTCACCCGGACTTTTATTGAATGACCATTTAACAAAGGTACTGAGTATTTAATTAAGGTTGGTTGGACAGGAGGTTTTCGGGCTTGTATGGCTAAAGCGAGGGGTATGAGTGTCGAAGGTGGTTGGGGTTGACTCCGTGTAATGTGTGGGTTGTTGATTTGGTTCGTTGATGTGACTGCAGGTATGTGCTRTGAGTCAGATTCTGGATTTGGTTGCCTGCGATCACACATATACATATTATTGTGAGAAACCCCAGTGAGACCGTGAAAAGTGATCGCCACATACTTAACCCTTATATACGTATACATGGGTATACTTGGGATGAATGTTTCCATGGRTTGAAGAGTCCCCATATTAAAGCCCCACTCAGATCTGGGACTGAGGAACTTAGGGGAGACCCCTATTTTTACTTTTGCTCCTGCTTTTTGATGATTTTTCTTAGTCGGACGTTTGGTCGTGGGCCGGGATTCGAGGTTCTCGTTCAGGACACCCCAAGCCCTAGGCTCTGCAGGGGAGGGGTTTTCCCTCGCGCAGAGCCTATTTGATTTGCCTACCGAGACACTCAGGCCAAGAGTCGGAGGTATCGCAGCGGCTGCACGACTATTCCTTCAGCCGTGCAATGTCATGAAGGGTTAGGCCCTCACGACACTTCAAGTTAGACACTCGAGTGTCATAAGCGGTACTCGATTTCACGAGAGACCGCTTGATTATGGGCACTACATAGTACGCCATCATTGCGACTTCTTGCGTACAATCGCATTTGCGAGTTGATATGCGATAGCCCTGCGTCCGCGCGGTTTTATACCTAGTCTCGCGCGCGACGCCTATTCGATTTCCGCATTGGAAAGTTATGGGTTGGCTACCAAGGCGCTAGGAGCGTTGTCGCGTTGTTTGTGTTGTGTCGTTTCGTATATGTGTTGTTTTGTGTGCATGTGTATTCGTAAAGTGRAGTGCGCGTGGTGTGTGGGATTCGTCCTAGTCGACCGACGACGGGTCGTGATTGGGATCTCAGGCCCCCCAAGATGCCGATTCACGTGCGGGTTCGATAGAGGCATATTACCGCGCGTAYCCCCTATGCTTCATCGAACGAGAAACACCCTCGGCTGGTCCACCTCTACGATTGCAACTGATYAACTTTCGTACTGTGGGCTGGTAGCTCGGCGGGGATACGCCCACCGAAGGGAGGTGACAATTCCCGTAAGGTGTAGGTAAGTCGTGCCTCACGTAGGCCCTATCCTGTCGTAGGGGCTCGCGAGAGGTATGGCTGACACACTCGGCCGGAGCGGCTTGTGGAAGATCAAAGTGTATTGTGACGAAGGGKTTTAAAACCAACTCCTGAGTGACGCGGCCGGGAGGGTCCCGCGCTGCCCCTGTGCGGTGCCGTACCGATGCGACCGATAGACGGTGCCGTTGCCGGGGATAACGGAAAACCTACCGTTGTCCCTGGTGGAACGACATCCAGGTATGAGAAGTGAATAAGAAAAGGCATAAAGGAGTGATGAGAAGGTAATGAAGGAATATATGAACGACTAAGTGTAGGTGAGGAAATTTACCTACCCAAGTAGAGGAAGTATGAGGGACGATCGTGTTAACATTTGGGTAAAGTAAGTATTAAGGGTTAGGTAGGACGGATGGAATATACCGGTCAAGGTATAATGTTGAATAAGGGGATGTGCTTGTTTTCTTTTGCCAGGGAACTTAAAAAGAAGAGGCTGTCAAGATGCCAGAGACTAAATGTGGCGGCTCCATCATCTAGTACGGGCCTCTCGCAAGGTGGGGCGCCCTCCTACGGACAGTGGCCCTGGCCGGTGATCAATGCAATTGTGCCATGGGGAAGCCTGCCGCCAGTAGCCGGACCGCAAACGAGTATGCCACCACCCATGTACCCCGCGGCCCAGGCCCAACTTGTGGCTCCGCCACTGTCACCTGATCCCAGTTCAAAGGGCAGTGTTGTAGGAGGTGGGAACCAGGGGCAGGGCAATCAAGGCAACGGAGGGAAGGGTGGAGGAAGGCGGCGAGGCAGGAATGGCGGCGGAAGAGGAAGGCAATGCAATGGCCAAAGCCAGGGGTACCGAGGCCAAGGGAGTCAAGGCCAGGGGTACCAAGGCCAAGGGAGTCAAGGCCAGGGGTACCAAGGCCAGGGGTATCAAGGCCAGGGGTATCAAGGCCAGGGGGATCAGGGAAGTCGGGGGCATGGAAGACCCCGTTTTGACTGGAGGACGGCCATCTGTCAACATTGTGACCAGCAAGGCGACACTATAAGGTTCTGTAATATAAGACGGGAAGACGAGAGAAGCAGACTGATTTCCTCCACTATAGATGGGAATATCTACGATCAGTTTGGGGAGGYCATTGACCGAAGGCTTGGAGGAGTGAGGGCTGAAGCCCAACGAAGGGCGGCAGCTGGGCCGCCACCCCCTGCCATGTTCAGGCTATGGCAGGAAAAGGAGGAACCACCGATTGGGGTGGAAGAAGTAGGAAGCGATGAGGAAGTGACTGAAGGGCTACGAGGAGGAAGTGAGACGGAAGAGGCCATAATCATCGAGTCAGATGATGAGGATGAGGAGGAAAGAACGGAGCCTTTGTTCGTCTTATTTGAGAAGATGGAGGACTTGCTGGATAAGATGGGGAGGTACCAACAAAAGTTGGTGGGCCTCTGTGAGGAAGTGAAGGGATGAAGGTCTAACATCCCCTCAGTATTCCTCTATGACTCCGGCCCGGAGTCAGTGCCTGGGCGACCCGGAGTAAATGTGGTAGGGTCATGCCCACAATCAGGAATAAGGGGGAGACCCCTCACTCCGCAGGCCCGGCTGGCACAGGCAGCGCGAACGAGGAATCAAGCCAAGGTCAGTGTCAGCCAAGAGCCTCCAAGGAGGGAACCCGAGCCAGAGAGAAGGAAAGAGGCTGTGGAAGTAGAGGACGACGATGATGAAGAGGAAGAGGACAAGAGGCTGCGCAGAGAAGAGGATCAGAGAGCGGAGCAGCGGGCAAGGAAAAAGGGAACCAGGGGAGAGGCCGAACCGGTCATACATGACGGACCGCCCAAAAAGAAAAAATACGCGGTCCGGTTGGAAGAGGGATTTGATGTAGAGAAGGTGATTGACCGGTTGCTGGAAGGGCATAATGACCTCATGACCCTGAAGGAAATCCTAGCGTCAGCCCCGCGACATCGCGCTGAACTGAAGGGGAGATTATCACGGCGCCTGGTGCCCAATGTTCCTCTGGGTACGATCCTGCCCAAGGAGGCAGAGTGGGCAGAGTCAGGTACGAAGATGGACTGGAAGTGCGTAGCCTGCGGTACAGTGGATTTGATGGTGAAGGGTTCCAAGTGCGCAGCAATGGTGGACACCGGGGCAGAGATGAACATTATTCGGGAGGCGGACGCGATCAGATTCGGGCTGGATATAGACCGTTCTAACTGCGGTATTCTGCATGGAGCCAGCTGTAAGGCCGTGTTTTGTGGGACAGCCTCGAATGTGCTCGTCGAGGTTGGAAAGGTGAAAACCAGGGCATGCTTCTTCATAATGCCTGACGTGGACCATGGAATCCTCCTGGGGAGGTCATTCCTAAGCAGGACAGAGACTGTGATGTTCAACAAACATGATGGGACGTTGATCCTCCTCTTATGTGATCCTGCCTGCGGGAATTATGAAATAATTACTTGCAGGAACACCGGGCGAAGGAGTATWAGGAACCGGCCCAATCCAGGATCATTCACAATCGAGGAATCGGAAGGGGAGCGCAGGAGGCTCTGGGCAGAACCCGAAGCAGGAGAGAGGGTGGAAGCATTTTCCCTCAGCCTGTCAGATGTTGGGAAGGCCATGGACCTGGTGGCCGCGCATCAGATGACAGATCCGGATGCCATCCAGGCCTTGAGGGAGCAAGTTGTGAAATGCCCGGAGGCAGGAAGGTTGGAGTTGGTATATCGGCTCCCAGGCAGCGGAGGGAACCCCGCATCAGCGCAAACACAATCCGTGAGTCGGCCTTTTTTAGAGGACGACTCAAGCAGGGTTCCCAAAGGCGGTACAAGACGGTAGACAAGAAGTGCCGCCCGGTACCCGTCCTCGTTACAGAGGACGAGGAAGCATATTACGAGAGGGAACGAGGGTTGATACGACGAATGAGGGAAAGTGCCTTAGCCGGGCCATGTCGTATCAACGAAGGGAACGAGAAGGAGTTGATCATAGGGGAGTCTGATTTCCTGCTGCCTCAGGAGCGAACGTTGATGGTGGAATTAATGAAGAGGAAGCATCGCGCCTATGCGTTTAGTGACGAGGAGCGTGGCAGGCTGGATGTGGACAAGATACCTATGATCCGCATCCACACCGTGCCACACGAGCCTTGGAACATGAGAGGGGCGCGATATCCCAATCCTGACGAGGAAAGGAAGGTGGGGGACTACCTCCACGGCAAGATATGTACTCACGTCGCCGACTATTCAAGTGGATCGTATGCGTCCCCATGGTTCTGCTTTATTAAGCCTAACGGGACGCTGCGGTGGGTGCAGGATTTGCAAAGACTGAATGCAGTAACCGTGCGAGATGCTGGAGAACTGCCAAATGCAGACGCGCTATCGGAATCCTGTGCTGGAAGGCCTATAATTTCGCTTATAGACTTTTACTCAGGATACGATCAGTTCCCTGTCTACCCGCCGGATAAGCCGGTGACGGCTATGCACACGCCGCGAGGATTAATCCACATGAACGTGGCCCCACAAGGGTGGACCAACGCAGTAGCAATGGTCCAACGGGCCATGATTCGGGCCATGCAGTCAGTTAGCCCCCATATCACACAGCCATATATTGACGATTTGGTAGTGAAGGGGCCGACGATGAAAGAGAGCGACGAAGTTTCACAGGGGGTAAGGCGCTTTGTCTGGAAACACATCCAGGACCTCGAAAAGGTCCTGAGCCTGCTCGAAGAGCATAACCTCACGGCAAGCGGGGNGACCTCGAAAAGGTCCTGAGCCTGCTCGAAGAGCATAACCTCACGGCAAGCGGGGCCAAATCCAAACACTGCATGAGGGAAGCGACTATCTTGGGGATGGTTTGCAATGAGAAGGGCCGAAGGCCGGATGTGAAGAAGACGGACAAGATTACTGAGTGGCCAGTTCCGTTCCACTCAATAACTGATGTCAGGAGCTTCCTTGGTACGTGTGGATTTTAGAGCGCCTTCGTCAAGAACTTTGCCGCTAAGACTGAACACCTGAGAAAGTTAGTCTGTCAGGATCAGGAATGGGTATGGGGTGAGGAACAAGACGAGGTGGTGGCAAAAATGAAGGAGGAATTTCGAGAAGGAGGGTCGGTGTTAGGAGCGCCAGATTATGACGCCACAGAGACGCGACCCTTCATTGTCGAAAGGGATGTGGGACCGACTACCTTAGGGGGAGTTCTAATTCAGGCAGACATGGAAGGAAAGGAAAGACCCTTGCGATTTGAAAGTCGGACTCTCTGTACGACGGAGAGGAACTACTCTCAGTTCAAGAGGGAGACCCTTGCTGTCCTCCATTGTCTGCGAATCTTCCGGAACTATATCTTCGGCAGGAGGTTTATTTTGAGAGTGGATCCGACTGCCCTGGCCTACTCTCTAAGGAATTACGCTCCATCGGATCCGACGGTTGCCAGATGACTGACGTACATCTGGATGTTCAATTTCGAATTGGAACGGATTCCTAGTAGTAAGAACCGGGCGGACGGGCTGAGTCGGATCAACTGGGATCAACAGGAAGGGGAGGCGGTGGAGAATACGCCCCCAGTTGATGGATTTCTGGATCAGGAAGAAGATGTTCGTCTTCATATCAACAAGTGGTCGCCACGAGTGCGCAGCTGTGTAGGCTATCCTATCTGGCAAGCACCGAAGGGGTATGAAAGGAGGAATGAGCTAGTCCTTAAGCCCTTTGAGGAAGAAGATCCCTGGGGCGGTAAGGATGTTCAGTGGATGATGGAGCTAGCGCTGACCAGCTCGCATAGCCTAGTGGAGGACATGAGAACGATTGAGGAAGGACCTGGCCAGGTAGAACGGCATGAGGACCTGATGGGGGGAATGTATCTCCTCGTCAACATGTTATTGCACAAAGGCCTCGACCAGTCAGGCTCACTGAACTCGACAGGAAATGTGGACGAAGTGCCCGAGAGCCAGGACGACGAGTTCGAGGAGGGGGAGTTTAAGGAGGCTTTTCGTGCAGAGGAGTACGACGAGATCTACCTAGAACTGGGGCTTCTTCTGTCATGTGAAATGCGGCTAAGGGATGCAAGCGATATGGCTCAGAGGATGCTGCAGCGCTACTTAGTGCGAGACGGCCACCTTTTCGTGAGAAGAGAAGTGGGGAATCCCAGGAGGGTCGTCTGCGGTAGGAATCGTCAGATCGACGTCGTAGCAGCACTTCACGATGGCATTGCAGGAGGGCATCGAGGAGTACAAGCCACGTATTCCAAGATAAGTGAGTTGTACTACTGGGATGGAATGATGGATATGGTCGGAAAATTATGTCGATCCTGCGTGCCCTGCTAGGAGAGATCCCGTTTAAGGCAAGGAGAGCCGCTGCATCCAAGGTTAGAGCGAAAGGTGGGGGCCGTAGTGCATCTCGATCTGCTTTTTATGCCACTTGGGGATCAGGGCTATAACTATATCTTCAATGCGCGCGATAACCTGTCTGGGTTCGCAGACGGGCGTGTTATTCGCACCAAGACCGGGTTAGCCTTAGTGAGCTGCATCGAGGAATATTACCTGCGTTACCCTTTCGTCAGGGAATTCGTAATGGACAGGGGATCGGAGTTTACCTACCAGGAGGTGCATGAATTGTTATCAAGGTATGGTGTAGCGGCCAACTACACCACGGCCGCGCACCCCCAGGCAAATGCTCCTGTAGAGAGAGGACATAGTACCATTACGAGTCTCCTGGCTAAGTGGACCGAAGGTAGGCCTAATCAATGGCCAAGATACCTAAGGGCGGCGTTCTTTGTTGAGAATATTACAATAAAAAGATCCACCAAGTACGCACCGGCGACACTGTGGTATGGAAGGCACGTCACCTTCCCTATCGAGAGCTTTCTTAAGACATGGAGGCGCTAGGATCTGGAAGTTAACCTGTCATTTGAAGAATTGCTCGATATTTGGGCGCGGCAGATAGGAGCGATAGAAAAAAGGATCCAGGAGGCTTCTCACCAGGTGGCGAGAAGTCGTATGGACGATAAGGCTCGATGGGATTAATCTGCGCGGGTGAGGAAAATACCCTTGGCAGTTGGAGATGTCGTACTTCTCTACGATTCATCACTGGAGAAGCAATGGTCCAGGAAGCTCGATAAGAGGTGGTTAGGTCCCTACCGGATCGTACGGGTCGGAGACTTCGGAGCGTATCAGATTGAGGAGCTAAATGAGACTGAGTGGAAGGATTGGGTATCTGGAACGCGACTGAAGAAATTCGTGGCGAGAGAAGAGGTAAGAGGGACGACCTGACTGCCTTTAGAATAGAAGTAGCAGGGTGTGTAGGCTAGGTAGGATGTATGCTGTGTGAGTGTGGTCTGGTCTAAGTTTGCTGGATTATCACCTGTTTTGCTTACCCCAATGTGTGCCTGTTGTCTCCTTCGCCTGTTGTACAGGTCTGACTTTACGAAGACAGCCATGCCAAGAGGAGGGAGGGGGACACGGCCGCTTCGGAGGCCGTTGGGAGCATCAGGAGGATATGAGCGACATGGGCCTCGCCATCGAGAGAGTACTCCAGTATACGATGATGGGGACATCGAGCTATTCCTGGATAACTTTTGGGATCATGCGAGGCGTATGGGCTGGACCGTGGCCCAAGCAATCGAGGGACTGAGGGGAGTCGGCAGATTCGAGGAGCCCGTCGCGCGGATCCGTAGAGAGGCGACGACGAGATCAGAGGTGGAGTAGAGGATGGAGGAGCTGCGACCCTCGCCTGTGGGACCAGATGGCAGGCCGATCCGTCTAGAGATCGGAAATATGGCAGACTTCATCCCTGCTTTCGAGTGGTTCATGCAGGGGCAGGGTATACTGAGAGATGAGTGGGCGAGGACGCCACCACTCTGGACCAGGAAGGCGGAAAGGCCGCTGGCTAGCCAAATCAGAGACATGGGCCGGGACTGGGAGAGCTGCAGGGCACAATTAAGAGAGGCCTTTCGACGGCCAGAGCCCCCCCAGCCCTGAGTCGAGAGACGTCAGAGGAGTCAGAGGTCGAGGGACCCTGAGCCCAGGGAGGTGAGACCGTCTCGGGGAGGACGGAAGGCCCTAGCCAGGAGAGAGGAGGAGCCGGAGCAGGAGCTAGAGGTTGAAGAGCGAGGGGCATACCCTGAGTGTGGGTTGGGACCAGTGGAGTTCCATCGTTTTACTAAGGGTGGATTGAGGAGGTCACCAGCACACACACGGGAGGAGCCGCCAGTGTCTGAAGGGCCGTTGAGGGAGTTAGAGACGCATCTGGATATCTCTCAGTGGAGAGCGTCGCCTCAGGATGAGAAGCATGAAGAGCAAGTAGAAAGGGTTCCACGAGAGGAGGTACCACAAGAGGAGGTGCCACGAGAGGAGGTGCCACGTGAGGAGGTACCACGAGAGGAGGTGCCACGAGAGGAGGTGGCACGAGAGGAGGCGCAGGGTACTCAGCGAGAGAGCAGGCTGGGTGACGTGGGGAGACGTGCAGGGAAGGAAGTGATAGAGGTTGGAGAGGACACACCCCCACAGGCGCCAGCGATGGGTTTGAGACTCGGGGATGCACTAGGGAGCACTCGTCAGGCAGAGGAGAGATTGCGGAGAGAGGATGCCTCACTTCCTTCATCAGAGAGGGCTCCATCGCCAGAGGGGAGAGACGGCAGGAGGAGAGAAAGGGCAGCTGTAAGGAGGGAAGCCTTGACCCTGATTAATAGACACCTAGCAGCTTATGCCCTAGAGCATCCAGACCTGGAGGAGCTAGCACCTGCAGAGCCGCGTCAGGAGCCGTACCAACCCGAGAAGGAGATGGAAGCAGAAATTCCGAAGAGGGTCGACCTCCGCACGAGGGAAAGGGCGCCAGCTGGAGAGACGGCTGAAGAAAAGAGGGAGAGAAGGACTAGACAGATAGATGAGATATGGCAGGAGATGCAGAGGTTGGAGGCAGCGGGGGAGCTTCCGGAGCAGCAACAGGAGAGGCAGAGATCGGAGGCAGCAGGAGCACTCCCAGGTCAGCCACCCAGCGCGCCAGCTAGGGCCCCGGAGATTCCTGAGATGTGGAGAGACTTCTGGGAGCATAGAGGAGAGGAACTTCCATCGCCAGTCAGAGCCGGGTTTGGGGTGGCCAGGAAGGCGGAAGAGAGGTTAGATCGTAAAATCAAGTTCCTGTCCAAGACCACTTTTGACCGACACTTGTTATTGGAGGGCGATTTGACAGGGAAGAAGATGAAGGAAGCAAGCCATGGAGTACGCCTGGAGGCTATGGAGATGGAAATTCAGGAACTCAGGGCCTTGGTGGCCAGCCAGGCAGCTATCATCGAGAGCCTGAGGCAGCAAACCCAGGGAAGGGTGGACAGGCCAGAGAGCAGCAGGTAGGGAGAGCAGAGGAAGTCAGGACAGGGATTGCCAGGACAGCCATCTGCAGCAGAGCCTTGCCAGGAGCCACCTATGGGGAGGGTTATCCTAGAGCCAGAGGAAGCGAGAGCCCAGAGACAGGCAGAGAGAGAGGCATTCGAGTTTAGAGCCCCTACCGAGCTCGCGACACTGACGGTAACAGCGGCGGGCCCAGTCGTACCTTTAGCAGTAGAGGAGGGGCTGCCACCATCCAGAAGTGAGACGGCACAGGGCTCAGCAGAGGGGTCCATGGGCGTGCTCCTTGAGGCGGTGCATATTATGCAGGAGGAGGTGAGTTTGTTTTCACCTGAGCAGAGGATAGAGGAGCCTCTTGAGAGAGAGATGGGGATTGAGGCGGAGGGTGCCATCGAAGGCAGACTCCAGAGGATGGGCACGCCTAAGTATGGACCAGACGAGATTGAGGAGCAGCCCATGGCAGCGCCAGGAGAGACACTCGAGAGGAGACCTCAGAGGTTGGACACGCCTGAGTACGTCCCAGCGACAGGGGATTTGAGGAGCAGACTGGGATCTTGGGCTACTGGATCTGGGTCTAGGGGACCGGTTCCTGGGACAGAGCAGCAGGAGGTCGTTACTACCGCAGCTCCTCGACCAGAGCAGCAGGGGGTTGTCAGTACCTTGGCAGGATCTCCTTCATCACCACCTCCTCAGCCCAGGAAGAAGAAGTTTAAGAGGAAGGTAGATCAGCTATGTTTCTACTGCAAGAAGGACGTGCATCATGCTCTGGACTGTCTCGAGTTCCTTAAGGATAAGGCAGCAGGGAAGGTCTCAGAGGTAGGAGGTAAGATGTATGATAAACAAGGTAGGATAATAGAGAAGTCCGCAGATGGACTTAGGGCTCAGTTATATAGGCAAAACCAGGAGGAGTTGAGGAGATAGCGCCGGTTTGTTTATGTGAGTGGGCGAGTATCTTGTGAGGCATCAGCTTAGGGTCTGTGTGATACCCTCTTAGACTTAGATGACCTTTTTTTTTAACTCTAGTGTCCCTACTAAGCTGGGGTCTTGAGGTTCAGGGTGATTTAGATGAGGCATGTACATATTTAGGTGGCCTACGCACAGGTTTTGAGAGACAGATCTAACATGTATTTTAGGGGTGGTTGTCAGTATAGGTTTGGGGTGGCTTGAGTGGAGTGAGCTATGATTTGGAGATAATTTTTTTCTTTGAGGTCTTTTTATTCCCTGAGTGTATATTATGATGAGGCTTTATTTCAGGGACCATTCATATATGTGACGATCACTTGTCACTCTCACATGTGTGGTTGTACTCTGATGTATGATAAGTTTGTGTGGACAACGTGTGAAAAACATCTTATTTTGTCATAGGTACAGTGAATATGATTGTACGCAAAACTGTCTACTCCTCGGTATACTTGTGCGACCTGCCCACGGGCAGCTGATAGGGCAGAGTATAAGGGGAGGGAGTGCAGCCTGTTTGTGAAAAGTTGTGAGGGAGGCTAAAAAAGCTTACCATGTTGATTATTGATTGTTTAAGTTGTGATGACGACCCATAAGATGGTCCCTCAGTGATGTTTTTTTTTGGATTTTTGGGAAGGGGATGTTTTAGGATGTTGTGTGTTATGATGAGACCCCCTTGAGTTTTGAGGAGGGGAAGTTTGGTTTTATGGCGAGACCCCTCGTGATTTTTGGACGAGGGGGTGTTTTGTTTTGAGGAGAACCCCTTGGATTTTTGGAAAAGGGGATGTTTTTGTTGCTGGAAGACTCACCTTCAAAAGTAAGTAAACTGATTTATGGCATGGAAAGTTGTCTAATGAGTGATAAAAGTCTGACGAAAAGGGCCACTTTTTTTGGAATGTTTGAGAAAGTCGCAATGAGTGCAGGGCGAGAGATGTCTSAGGGTGGGTGGCTGCTGGCTCTGATCAAGTCAGGGGTCACGGCATGGTGGACCTAGCGGTGATTTTGTTTGTGAGCGTGCGAAGGATGTCATGCCTATTGTGGAAGGGCTGGTAAATGCCTTCAGACCCCTGCGTGATCGCGCAGCAGGCCAGTGATTTTGTTTTGCGACGCCCCGCCTAACCACCTGTGCTAATTCTGAGACATATTGAAGAAAGGCCAAGCTAACGGAAAAGAAGTTAGTACCTCTAGGGCGTAACCCCATTGGATGGCTGCTAGCCGGCGCAACCTGGCTGCGGGACTGCGTGGGTAGGAGTTTAAGGGGGGGTGCCCGCCCCAGTGAAATTACTCCGCGGGATAGTGATGGTTGAAAATTTTTTTTGGGGAGAATCCTGATTGAATGCTTATCAGGAGGAAACCTATCGTTGCGTAACCAACGAGGGGTACGCCCGCTAAATAACAATGCGGTGGGCCGTAGTCCTGGTCCGATCAGCCAGGCTATGGTGGGCCAAGATGGAGACCTAGCCTTTCTGTACTAGATTGTAGAAAGAGCTGAGCGGATATTAAGTATACATATATACTTATGTGTTTTTGGATTGCGAGAGATTTTGAGAAGGAAGGCGAGAGTGCCTTCAAAAGGTCTCGATTAAGGCCCGCGTCCCTAGTTTTTGCCAGGACGAGGGACACCCAACGAGAAGCCGAAGGTTGTCTAGGACCGGGGGGAGGACGATTGGAAAGGTCTTTGGAACTTATGCTGTCAGCGTTCCAATTTCTGGGCGGTGAGAGGCCCAGGTTAGAAACCTGGCAGCATATAGTTGTGGAGGCACGGTTTAATGGACGCCTCTACCCTGTGTTTGTCGGCTAATTGGATTGGTTCGTTTTCCGCCAGCATTTGGAGTGTGGGTGGGTTTATAACTTTCTGATTTAGCGAAGCGACGGGGACGTCGCTTAATATGGTCCGGTAAGCTGTCAGTGCGAATACCCTTACAACGGTATCCGCCCTGGTTTTTGCAAGTAACAGAAAAACGGTTTTGGTTTAGAATTTAAGTATACCTCGCTAAGCGCGGCTGCGTCTGTAATTGCGTTGATTGCGTGGTTGACCACAATAGCGAGTACGTGGGCGCGCGTGATTCTTTTCTGTTGTTGATCGTAGAGCCGGCCCGGACCTTGGTCGTTTTGCTTGGTGATATTATTTATTATTTATTTATTTTTGATTAAGCGGGAATTAAGGATATTTTCTTTTGATTGGTACTTATATAAGCAAGCTGGCTCGGGCAAATGGGAGTTGCACAGCCGTTTTGTTGGCCCAAAACGTCGTGCCGCACTGCCTATATGGTATTCTGTGGGACTCAGTCTCAGGTTTGGGCTTAGCCCTATAGGTTACGGTATTGGACTACTATTATGAAGGTCTGGGGATCGAGGCCAGCGAGTGTCGGCGCAGCAGCGGCGGAGCGCTATGGAGAGAACCGA